AGGACTTTACTGCTGATACAGTGCTGCCAAGTATGGTAAGTGGGGGTAAGGTGGGAGGGCTCTTCCTGAAGTCCACTGCCATCTCCACTGTTTTGAGTGTATTCAGCTCCAGGTTGTTGTGGCTACACCACAGGACCAGCTGCTCAACCTCCCATCTGTAGGCTGACTCGTCGTCATCTTGGATGAAACCAATGACCGTTGTGTCATCAGCAAACTTTAGGAGCTTGACAGAGGGTTCCTTCGAGATACAGTTGTTGGTGTAGAGTGAAAACAGCAGAGGGGAGAGCACACATCCCTGGGGGGCACCTGTACTTATTGTCTGGGTGCTGGATGTGGTTTATTGGCCAGGTGTGTTTGACACATAAGGAATTTGACTCTGGTACATCAGCTTTCAATGTGCAAACAGTAAACCAGCATAAGGCTGTGTAATATAATAAATTAACAATATTAACATCAACAACCAGTGTAAACAATGCAGAATAAGCAGTATAAACAGACAGTAAACAATGCAGACAATTTCTCTAATTGTACTTTACCAACTGTTACTCTGTTTAAACATGTACACTGGCAACTTGTTTAGGACTTGAAAACACAAAGTCTAGGATCTGGATTTGACTCAGTTACTTCAGAGATTTAACTGTGACGACCGTGTCCCCCCTCAGCTGAGCAGAGCTCCCCGTCATCACGAAAAAACACACAGAGACAGTTTCTACAAAGACAGTTTGAAACATAAATGTTATGAGTACAGACCTGTGAGTACCTGTAACAGTAGTACAAGTACTACTAACCTGGTAAAAATGAGTAGCCCTCAAACATTTGCAGTATGTGCAGTACTACTGCCAGCCACAGTTCAGGTCAGAATATTGTGTTTTTATCCTGAACATTTTACAGAATTGTATTAAGCTGACTGAAGTTGTAACTACCAGCCCAGTTTAACCAGTCTAACCAGTCTTTTATCAGATAGGAAACAAACCTCTGACATTATCGGTCCCTTGAAATCAAAATAAATCCTGTGTCTCTGAGCTCGTCCCATCACAGCTGCGTTTCCCTGCATCACAGTGGAACAACGTCCCTTCACCTCAGTGCTGGGTCATTGTTGCTACAGGAGCCCTTCTTAGGTGGGTGTGTTTCTACCTGTGACCAGCAGGTGGTTGTACTCAGGCTCAGGTGTCCTGTTCGTGTCCGCTCACAGCTGTGCTTCTGCATCGTGTGCAACATCTGGTTCGTCTGAGCTGAAAGGAAACGAGTGGTGAAGCTGTAGCAGCAACAGGTGAGCTGTGTTCACCTGGTGGCTCTGTCTGAAGGTCTGGACTCTCACTCTTCTTCACAGTGTCCAACCAGACTACAGCGAGTTTAATAATGGTATGTTCCTGAATTTACACATTTCCCTTTGGAGCTACAGTGAATTCATCCTATGGATCCGCTGTTTCTCCAGAGTTGTGCTGCTCTGGCTGCTGTCGCTTCAGGGCTTCGTTGACATGTCAGTCACCATTGGTTGTTTGGTGTAACAAAAACTGGGAACACTGGGTTTTAGGACAAACCAAGACCGTTCCAGTAATGATGCTCCTGGACCAGCTCTGAAAACCTTTAAGGTCCTTCTCTGAACTACTCTTTGTGACACAGTCATACATGTTGATTTTAGATTTTTTCTTTCATAACGTTTTCGTTGTCTAACTGGCTGCGAGCAGCCTCACACAGCGACCTCCCCTCAACCTAAAATAAATCTCATTCTTATCTATTTATTATTTTTGTTGTTTCTCAAGGCTCCTGCTGTGTATTTGTAAATCATTTTACTCAAATTATTTTATTTTTAATAACAAAAGTTAGCAAACTCCGTTACAACATGGAAAAAATATTTTTGTAAAATAACGAAAAACATATGAAACAGACAAAATAATCGAATTGTCAAATGTTACATAAGCTACACTTTTATCAAATCAAGTCTTGACTCATTAATTACACACAAATCAAAGTCCTTAATCACAAAAGTAAAATATCACACGACACAGTTTACTTAAACATGAAATAAGCAAAATGTTTGAGCAACATTTTGAGGGACTTCTACTTGTAACTTAGTATTTGTAGTATTTGTATTTGTACCTAGTATTCGTGGCATCGTTACTTTTAGTGAAGTAACGTGTCTTCTTCGGCGGCTCGTTTATCTGTTGCAGAGCGGGTCCTCCAGCAGCAGGCGGCGCTGTCGCCCCCTGTTTGGCGTTGCCATGGAAACGTAGCACGACCGTCTGTTGTGCGTGGTGTTTTAGCAGCAGCTCGTCGGTCGTACCTGTAAGAAACCTGAAGGTATCGTCACCTGAAGATGCTGCTCAGCCGGCGGAGCAGAGGTCAGGAGGTCACGGGACCGACGCCGCACTCGGTGGCCGCGGTGAGACCCTCGGTAACACTCAGCACTAAACGGTAGTGCCTCACCGAGCCCGTTTTCATTCCGCTTTATGACGGAAAACAGGAACGTTCAGGGTAAATAAACTTCCGGACTAAACAGGTAAAAGTTATGTCGTCATGAATTAAAGTTCTGTGACGTCGGAGTAAGTCCAGGTTCATTATCGGTTCTCCTCTGGAACACGGACCGGATGTAATAATAATGTACACATTTAATGTTCAACAGTTTTCTGTTAATATTTAAAGTTCCTAATGTTTGTTGTATAGACTATTTATAAGACATGTCAGCGGTGCCTCACTGGGTCTAACTGGTACATGTCACACGCACACAGACTGTATCTTCACATACATACATGTGTACACGCACTGTACGGTGTGTTCCCCTGGTTGTGTGTCCATAATAAAGCTGTTTTGTTTGTTGATTGTGTATTTGTGTTTTCACTGCTGCAGTCGAACAGAGCTTCAACACAGTGTCTCACCTCACATACATCTTTGATATCATTCTCTTCTTGTTGATTTCTGAGCATTTTTGTCATCCTGCTGTTTTGCTGATAAATCCATCAGAGGTGGAGGAAGTAATCGGATACTTAAGTAACTACCACACCGTGGTATTAAAGTCAAAATGTGTGAGTATCGTCAGGACAGAATCAGAACTTTACATGTTGATAGTAGAATCGTTCAAAGCAGATGAGGAGACTGTTGATGGAGCCAACGTCAACTGGTTCACACTTTGCAGCTGATGGCTGGTTTGTAAAACAGTGAGAGCTGTGGCGACGCGTCCCACCTTTAGTTCTGTCATTAATCATAAGACACAGCATCAGATCCTTATTTCTGAGAAGCTGGAACCATGAACTGTTTGGTGATTTTCTATGAAGAATGACTTAAAAGAGTCAGAGGTTAACTTTCTATCAATCAGCTGATCCAATAACCAACTGGACATTTTTACTGTTTGATAGTTTAAATTACAAAGCAGTGAATTTTATCAGCTCTTCATATGTTTCACTTTGTAAAGTAACGTGACTCAGACTGTGAGTTTCCTCTGAAACGTAGAGAGCATAAAGACAAAGTACCTCAGTACACATCTCACTGTACCTGACGTACACGTTACTGCTCTGGAATCCATTACTCAGCTCAGACAAACCCGCCCAACGCCTCAGAGCTTCAGGTCTGAATGTGTCATTTCTCTGTCGAACAGAGAGCGAAGCTCCCGTTGTCACGGCCCGCAGACCACCTGACCCTGGAGAGACAGAAACAGGACGCCACCAGAGACGAGGTCCTGGAGTTCACCAGGTACCAGCAGACCTGTGACATCAAGAACTCCTGGCTGCAGAGCTCAGAGCGTCACTTCCTGAGAAGAGCGGACCAGAGGCATGTCCTAGCTGCTGTGAGACAGCACGAGTCCGGCGTCGAGGAGCGGAAGGACAGGTTTCCTCTTTGTCTTTTTTTGTTCCAGGGTGGGAGGAGGCTGAGCACACTCCCTCACTTAAGGACACTTCTCAGCTACTTGGTTCAGTTTTCTGCTGCGTTGTACTTGTTCTCCAGCTCAGAGGGAAACCGTGTACTTTTTACTGCACCACATTTATTTAACCGCTGTCCTTACTGGCTCCTTTAAACAGTAATGTTTTACCTTTAAAAGACGATAAATGTGTGAAATCCAAACTCAGTGATTTATAACCTTTGGGAAATACTCAAGTACTTTTACCCCTGATGCTTCAGCTGAGAGTACTTCAGTACTTATGTTGGACACGTGTAACAGAGCAGTTTCTCTGCGACTCCGGTGAATGACGTGCGCTCTGATTCCTCCCC